CGGGTGCCCCATTGCCTGAGTGAATGTGGAAAGTTTGCAGGCCCCTCCCCTCCAGTCCAAGCCCCGCCCCTTCAAGCGACTCAGGCCCCGCCCATCACTGTCTATTCTGGCCCTGCTGAGAATCCCCTTCAACCTACTGCATGAGCTAGAAAACTCAGGCCCAGGCGAAGGAGACCATGTCTTCAGGAGGCCACAAAACTGGGGTCACAGAATTAGGTCACTGGTACGTAGTCACCTGTATAATGTCACAGGGATGGTCCTCACCTGCTATTCAGCCCAACTCCTGCCTCCTTCAACTTCCCAGATATCTAGATATCTAGCTCCAGGAGAATCTAAAGACCCACTCCAGTCGGGAAAAACAAAAATGGTGGGGACAATGCTAGCCATCTCCCACTACACAGGAGTCTAAGATCCAGCTATCTCTTCTCTCAGGTCACAGGAATCTAGGTCCCCTAGCCCTCCCTTCCCCCAGACTGAGGAGTCTGAGCCTCCAGCCTTCTCCTCCCCAGTCCCAGGAATCAGAGACCACATCCACTTCCTCCCAGGACACAAGAGTCTGGGCTTTCAACCAACAACCCTAGACCCAGAAATCTCAGCCTTCAGACTTCTGCCCCCTCAGAACTCAGAAGTCAAGGCCCCCAGGACCCAGGGGTCCAGGTGCATGAGCCGCGGGTGGAGATGAAGGGAGGTCTCCTGAGCCACTCCCTCCACACACATCAGGTCAGACGGGTCCATCTAGCTGAGCCGAAAGCAGGAGGGACTTTGACTCCTTCTCTCCTTTCTTTCTCTCCCTTCAGGCAGAGGCATAACCGGTTCTCAGAGTGGATAATTTCCAGCTCCACCCAATATTCAGACTATGTCTTAAGCCTGGGACTGGGGCCTTGGACTCCTGGGAGGACAGGAGGGGACTGAGGGACCTGGGACCTGGGAGAGGAGGCAGCTGGGTGCCTGTAACCTTGGGTCTTTGAAGAGGTGCATCTGGGAATCTAGACATCTGAATCCCAACACTCAGAGGTCAGATTCAAGAAAATGTTTATAAGAGGGCAGGCCAGACTTAGACCAAAACCCAACATGGCATCTAAAACCCAGAATCTACTCATGAGATGCCATTAGGGATGTTTTAGGGAGGCTGTTCTAGAACTTCCAATTCCCTGAGAAGGAAACAAAATTCAGCTAGGCTGGGTGTAGAATCTAGAAGGCCACGTGCAAGAAGACACAGTACAGAGTGCAGAAAGGCCATACACTTCCACATTTACAATGTGCTCGGGGTAGGATCCACACATGGGGCCAAATAGAAGGGCATATTCTAGAGCCCAGGTCTGGAACTTTGAACAAGCCAAGAGCAATCCAATAACTTAAAAGAGTGTCTGGGTCACCCCAGAACCCCAAACACAGAGGGGAGGGTAATGATATCTAAGAACAGACCTAATGCAGTACATAACAAACCTAAGTCAGGAGACATAATCTAGACATAATCTAGAACTCAGAACCTACCAGGGATGAAGGCATAAAGGTATATTTTATCTTTACAGAATAAAGCAGAGATCGCATGCTTGGTTTTTTCATGCATCTAGATAATGTTAGAATTCAGAAGGCAGAATATATGCTCTAGAATTCAGAACATGCCCTGGAGGCAAAGGAAAACCTAGAAAATAGCAAGGAGTTTGCCTGGAACTTAGAATCGCCTGGGGGAAGATGCAGAAAGATGCATTTTGGCAATTGAGAATTTCCTGGCATAAGGACTGAGCTGGCAAAGGGGGTGGGGATGGGGGTGGTGTGTTCTAGAAATGAGGACATTTCTAGGCTGAAGACTCCAAAAGAGGAGAGAGCATAGAGCATGTTTAGAATGTTGAAGTGGCAGATGGAGGAAGCCCCCAATCCACCAGGGGACAAGTTCTAAGCCAAGGTCACACCAGGGAAAAGATGGACAGAGAAGGTGGGAATGGATGAGCCGAGAACATAGAACCTGAGGAAGGAAGATGCGATGTACAACACTTCAGTGGGAATCCTCGAGATTTAAGACTGTAGAATTGGATGGAATCTAAAATAGGGAAGTGCAGGGACTTCCCTGGCAGTCCAGTGGTTAAGACTTGGCGCTTCCACTGCAGGGGATGTGGGTTCGATCCCTGGTCACGGAACTAAGATCCTGCATGCCACACAGTGCAGCCAAAATAAATAAATAAAAAATTTAAATATAATTAAATAAAATAGGAAGTGCATTCTAGAATGGATAGCACAGTTTGGAGAAAGGCTAGAGCACATAAATGCAACACACATATTCTATTTTTTTTTTTTTGGCGGTACGCGGGCCTCTTACTGTTGTGGCCTCTCCCGTTGCGGAGCACAGGCTCTGGACGCGCAGGCTCAATGGCCATGGCTCACGGTCCCAGCCTTTCCGCGGCACGTGGGATCCTCCCGGACCGGGGCACGAACCCGTGTCCCATGCATTGGCAGGCGGACTCTCAACCACTGCGCCACCAGGGAAGCCCGGAACACACATATTCTAGCACTTAGAATGCCCCTGGGAAGAGAATGGAATCTAGAGCAATGCCAAGGATGTGGCTAGAACCTAGAACACACCCAAAATGAAATTTTAGAAGAAAATAAGCAAGCACTGGCTTCTTAAAAATTGGAACATGTCAGAAATTCTCTGGTGGTCCAGTGATTAGGACTCTGCGTTTTCACTGCTGAGGGCCTGGGTTCAATCCCAGGTCGGGGATCCAGCAAGCAGCATGGTGCAGCAAAGAAAAAAAAAAAAAAGGAACTTGTCGAAGGGGAGGGTGAGATCAGAATTTGGCTTGGGAGCATTAGCTAGATGTTTGAATTTACCTGGGGAAAGTCATGCCTCGAATTTAGCATCTAGCCTAGACTTTAGAACAGTAGCTTGGGTGAAAAAGGAACAAAGATGTTGACTGGGAGTGTTCTAGGATTTAGGAAGAATCTAGAACACGAAGCATTGCCAGGGCGCATGTTTAGGTGGAAATGTGGAAGACAATTCTAGATCACAGAATGAACCTAGGCCATAGAACACATCTGGAGGAAGGGATGTATGTTTGGCTCACCAGTCTGAGAGTGTACTTGAAGGATTTGACATCATGATATGAAAGAATCGTGATGGAGTGCTGGAAACATCTCAAAAAGCTGGGTCTCAGGGGAGAATGTTGGAAACCCCAGGGAGCCCAGAACCTGAGATGATACGGAGATGAAGCAGGGGTTTTTCAAGGCCACCAGAGATGTCAATTTGATGGGCAATTGTGAGGCTGTAGGGACTTGGGTTCAAAAGAGTAACAGCTGAGTGGCTAGATACTTGGGGTGGTGGGTGGCAGAGCTGGGGAACTGGACTCCTGAATTGCTGTGGAGGCCAAAGCCAGGAGATGGAAGTTTGGAGCCTGAGTCCCTGTTGGATGGAGGGCTGGGGTAGATGGCTTTGGTGGGCAGAATAGAAGGTGGGGTCTGAACTCCTGGGTCCCTGAGGGGAGGCAGGATCAGGGACAAGGCATCTAGGTCTCCAGGGGGCAGCGTGGGTAGAAGCCAGAGAATTGCATTAAGAATTGCATTCTGAGTCCCTGAAAGGAAGAGAGTCATGGCGCCTGAATCCCTAAGGGGGCAGATGCTGGGGTGCCAGGTGGATGGGTATATTTGTCTGAGGGGCACAGGGGCTGTTGAACTGTCTCTGAAGGGAGCAAAAGCTGGAAATCTGGATTCCTAGATCCTGAGGGGGTGAGGGCTACCACCTGGGGCCTTTAGCCAGAGGAAGTGAGGACTGACAGGGCTCCCAGAGCCCGGTGGGATCTGGGTCCCCAGATGCCAAGATCCCTAAGGTGCACCAGGCAGGAACATTCAGAAGCTCTGACTCCTCAAGTAGAAGCTGGGGTCTCCGAAACCTGGGTTGTTGAGGGTGGAGCTGAGAGCCTGGCCAGTGGAACCCTGAGGCCCGGGCGCCCAGGTCGGGGAGGGCCTGGGTATCCCCAGGTCAAAGGCGCGACGGGGGAGATCCCCGCGCCGCCGGCGCCGCCTCCCCGGCGGCAGCAGCAAGAGATGGGGGACGCGAGGCTGCCGAGAACGGTGACCATGGACAGCTCCAGAGCGGGCCTGTGTCCAGGGCGGCCGCCGAGCCGGCCGGGACTGAGGGACTCGGCCGGCTGTTCAAGCCGGCGGACCAGAGATGGGCAGACTGGGTGGGCGAATGGGGGACTATGCGGACGCGACGGGGGGGGGTGGCGGCCGGCCCTAGCTGGGGGAGTCTGACACAGCTGCGGCCGGTGTCTGGAGCTCCCAGGACTGGGCCGAGGAGGAGGATCTAGGTCCAGAGGGGCTTCCTGGGGCTGACCTGGGAAATCCAGGCTCCTGGGCCCCGGAGGAGGCGCAAGGCGGCAGTACGCCTGGGATTCCAGGGTTCGGTTGGGGACTCTGAGAGCCGGGAGGGGCACGCCTGAGTCTCTGGGGTCGGGCTGTGAAATCTGGGCTCTGAGGTCCCAGGGGATGAAGAAGGGAATCCAGGATCTCAGGGAGGCGGGGGAAGCTCGGCGACGGGTCCCCGGGATGGGCGCTGCCAGGCGGGCCGGGCTGGGCTCTTACCTACCTGGTCCGCGGCGGCTGCGGGCGGAGCTGGGCTGCAGGAGGGACGTGGGGTGGGGTGGGGGGACCGGGCGGGGCCCCTGGCGGCGGCCGGGGCCCGGATCTGTGCCTCCGGAGCCCTGTCTCCGCCGCTCGCGCGGGCTCCGCGTCTCTTGCTCCGGCTTGGGCGCTGGGGACCCCCCCCTCCCCTTGACGGTCTCACAGCCCTCTACCCCCTAAAATAGCCCCCTGCCCCTTTCACCGTTCAGCCTCCCCCCGCGAGGCCGCAGCCGCCAGATCCAGGGGTGCTCACCAGCGCCCCCCAAATCCCACCTTCCCCCGCCAAAAAATTCCTCCTCCCTCCTCCCGCCCCCCCCGCAAACCAGCTCCGGGGCGGTCGTGGCCCCTTTAACAGGAGACTGACAGACGGGTCCGCGTGGCCAATGGGAGGCGGTGTCTGCGCCGGCCGGCGGCTAAACCCCACCTCCGAACTGCCTGGGAGGGGTCTCACGGGCGGAGAGCGGGAGGCGGGGCTCAAGGTGAGACTGCCAATAGGCAAGCGGCGTGCGGCGGCTGGGGTGGGAGGCGGAGCCCGGCAGGGGGATGATGTCACCTGGAGCGAGTGGCGCGCGGCGTGGAACGCGAGTCGCGACCCCGGATTCCGGCGGTGGCGCGCGCCGGCCCTCGCGCCGCACGGGACAGGAGAGTGGGAGTAAAGAATGGATTTTAAGGCGGGGGCAGTTCCCGGAGACACGCGCTCGGGTTGGAAGGTGGGGTGAATGCCGGGTCGGCTAGCGCACCTTATTCTGTACCCCTTGCGCCCGCCTCGGGAACTGCACGTGGCACCTCCACCCCCGCCTCCCACTCAGACGATTACGCGGCCGGGAGGGCTCCCCCGGCGGGCTAGGCTAATGGTTCGCTCCGCCCCGCCCACACAGAGGCCGCCCACTGACTTTTGCGCGTTTCAGGCCTCCTCTGTCAGACCAGATACAGAGGAAGGGGGCTTGGCCTCCGCCCTCAGAATCTCTGAAAGGTAGGGGGAGTTGTCTTCAGTTCTGACCCAGCGCTCAGACCCAGACCGGGTCCCAGCCTCCAACCTGGACTTGCCGCTAGGAAGCCGGCCAGCCTCTGCCTTCGGACCTGGGGAAAAGTCTCAAAGCTCCGCTCTCAGACTCTGAAAAGGGTCTGGTAGTGACCTCAGCTTCTCTCCTTCTCCCACATCTCCAGACATTCTAACCCCCGGATGCAGAACAGACACAGACACTCAATGAGGGTCAAAGATCTTTAAATAAGGAGCTGGTGACAATAAATACTGTACAGGGGAGGGGGTGAGGGTTAGGGTCCAGATCTGTGGTTTCAGCCTCGAGACTCCAAGGACCTAAAAGGAGGGTGAAGAGAGGGGAGCCAAGCTCAGGGGAGGGGACCGGGGGAGGCATGGGAGAGATCCAGGACTGGGGTTCCAGAGCCAAGAGCCCAGGGAAGTGGGCTGAGGGTTCCAGAGGGAGTAGGTTCCCGATCTTGGGATGGGAGTGAGCTAACAGTTCCTAAGGTATTTAGTCAGAATGGCTTGGAGTGAGAGCCTGGGTCAAGGGTCAGAATCCCAGGGAAAGGAGCCAGGGCTGGAGGTGGCAATCAGGGCCTCAGAAATCATTGGCCTGGTTTGGGAGTCTGGGGATACCGGAGGCAGTGAGGGCCCCAGGGGTGTGGTGGCAAAGGGCTCACGAGTAGCTCTGATGTTGCTGGCGCCGCCGGGCAGAGCGCATCTTCTCAAAGCGGGCCTCCATCTCCTCCAGCACTCGAGGTGTATAGCGCACCACCAGCTTCACCGAGCCCTGGGCAGCCTTCAGCAACTCCACTGCCTTCTCATGCTGCTCACCCTCAACGCTCTGCAGGGGCGGTGCAGACAGCTGGGCCTGGGGCCCACCACCCTCACCCCGCCCCCACCCTGGTACCAACCCCAAGATGCGAAGGCCTCATGTACTCATGAGAGAGTCACTCTTGGCTCAGAGTCCTCCCCCCAAACCTTCCAAGTTCCCCATGTCAGGGACAAGCCCCATATGCCCTCAGTCACCGAGCTAGACCTCCAGACTCGTCTTTATTCCCTCCCTCCCGGCAGCCCGATGATCCCCAGCCCCATCCCTCCTGCCCTGACTCCCTCTTCTTTGTCCCCACCACCAGGCCCCAGCTCAGACCTTATCCTCTCCCCACTGGACCTCACCCTAGCCTCCTCCTTGGCCTTCTGGCCTCCAGTCTCTTCCCTCAGTCTATCCCCTGTAGAGTCCCAAAGGGGTCTTTCTATGCCTCCAGGTTGAGCCTATCCTTCCCCTACTCACAGCCCTCCCATGGGTCCCCAGGAGGCTTGAGACAAAGTCCCAGCTTCTCAGGCTGGCACTCAGTCCCTGCATGACTGGCCCCAACCACCTACCTAGTCGTGCCTCCATCTACTCTAAGCACAGTGATTTTAATCACCGGCACGCCCCAGTCCTTCATCAGAACCAAGCCCTTTCTCTCCACCTCGTAGGAGTGCAGAGTCACAGACCCTACCCACAACACCCTCTGCCAGTAACACCCTTCTCCACCAGCTCCTACTCATCCTTCAAAACTCAACTCAAATATTCCTTCATCTGCAAAAACTCCCCTCATCTACACTGGTCTGCTGCCACATCTGGGCTCTCACAGTGCTTTGTGCTTCCTCATTATCTCCTTGGTTTAGGACTGTTTCAGTCAGGGTCTATCTCCCTCACCAGAGAGGGACTCCTCGAATGTAGGAGCAGTGGCCAATTACTCTCAGGGTCTGCAGCAAAGCCCAGCACAGGGCCGGACACAGAGGCAGTGTTCAGTGCGTGTTGAGTGAATGTGAAAAACAGCGACTGTGCTACCTTGGGCAAGCTGTGACCCCAGCCAGCCCTGCCTCAGATCCCCACTCACCACACCATTCACTGACAGCAGCTGATCCCCACGCTTGAGGCCTCCGTGGCGGTCAGCCACACCTCCAGGGATGACACGGGAGATGTAGATGGGCGAATTCTGCTCCTTGCCCCCCATGATGTTGAAGCCCAGGCCCTCATCCGTCTTGGGTAGTTCCACTACCCTGGGATGTGCATGGCCCTCACTGGCTGTGAAGGCCGCCACCGTGGCCTGGGAGAGAGAAAGCCTCAGGAGGTGAGGGCCCCTCCACGATGTGTATGCGGACTAGGGTGGAGGATCTGCTTCAGGGAGAGGGATTTAGGCCAGAGAGCTTCCCTCAAGCACGGGGCATCTGCCACAGAACTCAACACAAGATCACTCCGTAGTGACAGTACATCCCTTTTAGTCACTTTGGACACTTCAGACTGTCAAAGAGAAAGTCTCCATTTGGTGTGCATGCGTCTTGAATACTCAACACTTGTCAATATCGCTTTTTAACAGAGGGAAACAAGGCCTGGACAGAGCTGAGAGCCTCCAGCAAGCAGCAAGAAATAGCATCTAACTGTAGTTTAATAAGATTACAGTGTTTACTAAAGCTAGTTCACTGTTTTCATTGGTTATCTTCTAGTCAGGCATTCGGTACTAGTTTCCATTTGTAGTTGCTAAAATTGTCTTTTTTTTTTTTTTTTGCTAGAGATGTCTTTATATGACACAAACTAAAAATGTGAGATTATTTAAAATACATTATAAATAAATCATAGCAAGGGTGGTACATAGATATGGCAAAAATCATGAAGGAGGAAACAGGAATGAATGACTGACATTAGATAGATATTGAGCTAGACCATGCGATTCAGTGGATACCATGAGCAATGGCCTGGGGGCGCCTACCTTGGCTGTGGCGTGGGCCCGGATCTCAGCACTGCCGGTGATGTCCAGCGTGTCATAGAGTTGCTCATACACCTGGTGAGGACGCAGCAGCATCAAGGAGCCGCCAGACCCCTCCTCCGTTCAACTCAGTAGTCCAGGCCCCCAGACCCTCCCACCCAAGGATCCGCCCCGCCCCCGCAACCTGGAGGCCGCGGAAACTACAGCTCCCAAAGAACCCCTGAGTTGAAGCGCGGGCAACCCAAGGAGGGCCGCCCCGGTAGCTGCTGGGAGGCGTAGTCCCCGGGCTCGGGGCGACCAGGAAGAGGATCACGGCCGCCCGATTGGGCTCGGCGCCGCGTTGCTCTCACCTCCCGGATGGCAGAGCAGAAGCGGCTCTGCAGGACTCGCTGGAGGGCCTGCAACTTCTGCGGGGGCAGCTCCCCGCTGCGCTGGAGCCGCTCGAGGAGCTCCACCGCCCGGGACACGTCTGCGGAGCGGGGGCGGGGCGCACAGACACACAAGTGTCAGAGACGTGAAGACGCAGAGAAGGACGGAGAGATGCGGCCAGAGACCAAGTAAGGGCGAGCGCAGACCCCGAGAAGGACAGCAGAGTCCCAGTCGGACACCCGCAGAGTCGCCCGTGGCAGAGACTGCGGCCAGTCGGGCGCCCTGCGTCCTCAGGATCCCCATACACACCCAGGCAGGGGTGTGCAGCGGGCGCCCCCTCTCTGGCCCGCTCGCCCACGGACCCTCCCACACCCACCGACTGCCCGACTCTCGGCGCCCCGCCCCGCCCACCCCCGCCGGGCCCGCCCACCCGCCCGGGCCTTGCCGGGGGAGGGGCAGGGGACCGGGCTCCGGGACGCAGGCCGGGGCTGGGTGTGCAGGGGCCCCTGGCGCGCTTACCCCGCTCCAGCCCCAGTGGCTCCACCAGAGCAGCCATGTCGGCGCCGCCGCTGCGAGGCACCCGCCTGGCGGTCGCCGGCGAGGAGGGCGGGGCTGCGCGAGGCCACGCCCCGGAGACGAGCGCCCCCTGCGGAGGCGAGGCCCAGCGAGCGCACCGTCCCATCTGCAACCGCTCGCGTCTCGCTGCCCTGCCCTCAGACCCCATCGGTCTGTTGGTTGGGTTTGTGACCTCTCCTACTGCAGCCTCTGTCTGCACCGCCTGACATCTCATCTGTCCTGCTCGCCACACCTGTCTCCTGTCTGTCCCTTTTTCCCACATTCATTGGACAAACTATGTTAAACATCTGGGCCCAAGATCATGGACACGATGGTGAGCAGGGCAGATAAGCCCCCTGCCCTCCCGGAACTTAGTCTATGGGTGGGCGGGGGGGGGCAGGGTAGACAAGCAACTGTGGCTGTGATCAGAATTGGGAGTGGGAAGGTGATGATCTACGAAGGACACTGACATAGAGCGCTTGGAGGTAAGATCATCAAGAGGTGGGGCGTGGGTCACTTTCCAGACAGAAAGAGCCCACGTGGCTGGATAACAGCGTAAGGATTGGAGCGGTTTATGATGAAGGTGAAGAGCTGGCAGGATACAGCTGATGCACAGCCTTGTGTGTCGGCATACTCACGCTGAGGGTTTTGGACTTCATGGTAACTCCTAAGAGTAAAATGGGATATTCAAATGTGTATTTTTTAAGATTACTGTGGACGCTGTGTGGAGACTGGATTGGATGCGAGGAAGAGCGGAAGCATGGGGCAGATCAGGAGGCTATCCCAGTAACCCCATGATGGCTTAGACCAGCGCAGAGGCATGGACGATAAGTGGACAGATTTAGAAATGTTTGGACATGTCTTAACTGTATATGAGGACTGGGAGGTTGAGGAGAAGGGGATATTAAGGTGCTGGTGAGGCCTTTTGCTATGATGGTCTATGCTGGCGGAGGGATAGTGGATATTCTGACTTTGAGGAGCCCGTGCAGTATCCAAGGCCTGCAAGCAGTTTTGAGAATTTGGGCGAAGGTGGTAAATAAAGCCATAAGCATGGACAAGAAAGCTGGAGGCAAGAGAATATAGAATGAAGAGAACCTAGAATTGAGTCCTCAAAACTCGTACATTTAAAATTCAGGAAGAAGGGGCTTCCCTGGTGGTGCAGTGTTTGAGAGTCCGCCTGCAGGGGACACGGGTTCGTGCCCCGGTCCGGGAAGATCCCACATACCGCGGAGCGGCTGGGCCCGTGAGCCATGGCCGCTGGGCCTGCGCGTCCGGAGCCTGTGCTCCGCAACGGGAGAGGCCACAACAGTAAGAGGCCCACGTACCGCAAAAAAAGCATGGACAAGAAAGCGGGAGGTTCGGGAAGAAGACAAAGAATGGCCAGAAATGTAGGAGGAAACCCCAGGTGGGAGAAACCATAATAATTTTTTTTTTAATATTTTATTTATTTATTCATTTTTGGCTGCCTCGGGT